TTTTTTTTTTTTTTTAATTATATGTAAGAGCTCTGATGGCATAGTGCCTAAGGCATTTGACTGTTAACCAGAATGCTGGTGGTTCAAACCTACCAGCCACTCCTTGGAAGGAAGATGGGGTAATCTATCCATAGTGATACCACCTCAGAAACTCAAGGAGGGGTCACTATGAGTCAGATCCGACTCAACGGCAATGAGTTTGGTTTTGGTTATTTTATATATATATAAAATTGAAATAAATTTATAGTAAAATTTAAATAAATTATAAAATTTATTTATATACATATATACATAAATATATACATAAAATTACTACAAAGAAGTACAGGTGCAGTAAGAGGAGACGGATAACAGATTATAACGGACAACTCATAAAGGTCTTTTAAGTGCATTTATAACTATTTTATTATCAGTAGAGATGAACATATTAGAAATCCTCTGTGCTTTCATTTGAAAAGGGAAAGAATCCTCACCCAAGGAGACCATGTTTCCAACACTCTCCTTCCTGATCTCCTGGTAGAAGTCTCTGTGAGCAGGAATCTGATGCACACTCTTTTTGTAGGAGAAACCTCTTGCCATGTGGGTATCTTTCACTGGTCCCTGTAAGAACACTAATACCAATGACTACCAAGATCACTGCATGGGTCTTCTAAGGATGAATGATCATGAGTGAAGCACAGAAAAGCCCCAAGGAAGAGCTGAAATTAAGGAGTCAACTGTATGTTATGTGCCAAATGAAACAAAGGATACTATAGTCATAAGAGAGGTAATTCAGAAAGGAGCCCTATTATTCAGAAGGCAGGGTTCAATGTTTTCTGGAAAAAAATAAGGGGAAGAGGAGTCCTTTGGCAAAAGTACAAAAGTTTGAGGCTAGTGAAGGCACAGGAAATCATTGCAACTGAGCACTCTAGGAAGGAAGGTCAGAAAGAATAGAATTTACCTGAGATCCAGCAGGAAGATGTGTGGTTGTCACTTCCTGGTCTCTGGTGTTCCATTCATCAGCAGGGATAGGAACCCAGGGAGAAGGACAAGCTGTAAGAAGAAAGAAACAGTATTCTGGGCTCTGGTCCTTTCATTCATGCTGCTGTTTCTTTTAAGAAATAAGTATGTGGAAGTAACCAACAAATATAAATTGATCACTTTTCAGTGCATTCAGAGCAATGTTCTAAACCATGGTACCTAAGGCAGGGATCAAATGTTTTCAGGAGTAATCAAATAATCAAGTAAAGTACATGATGAAAGGGGCCAGGTACGGACTGTGGAGAACTTGAGATTGCCTGCTGCTTTGAAAGGACACAGCCAGTGCTTGCTCCAGCTGATGCCCCAATGTGAGACTATGGCCCAGGAATAGTTAGAGCTTCTAATTTTTCAAGGGAAGCCAAAAATCTGGACTTTCACGTGAAGTCTCAAAAGTCTTAAACATTGGGAACAGACTAAATTAAAAAAAAAGTATAGGAGCTCTGGCAGCATGGTGCCTAAGGCACTTGACTACTAACCAGAAGGTTGGCGGTTCAAACCGACCAGCCGCTCCTCAGAAGGAAGGCTGGGTAATCTACTTCCGTAGTGATACTGCCTCCACAACCCAAGGAGGGGTCGCTATGAGTCGGGTCCGACTCAACGGCACATAAGAACAACAACATAGGTGAAACAGAACAAGGATGACTTGGCACATGGGTTATCAGTTTGTGACCTCTACTGTAAATAAATCCCATATAAATAAATATTTCCCTGAGGGACTTAAGATACATAGTACTGGAGACAGGCAAATACACCCCTCTAAGGGGGGAAGCTCTGGTTGCGTAGTGCCTAAGGCACTTGACTGCTAACCAGAAGGCGGTTCAGACCCACCAGTCACTCCTCGGAAGGAAGGTTGGGCAATCTACTTCCGTAGAGATACCGCCTCAGAAACCCAAGGAGGGGTCACTATGAGTCGAGTCCGACTCGAAGGCACATAACAACAACATCTATCCTTCAAAATTTTTGTCCTCTCCAGCCTCAGTATGTACCTTGACAGAACACACTTTTATTTAAAAGAATTTCTTATTGTCCTAAACCAAACCAAACTCACTGCTGTCGAGTTGGATCTGACTCATAAAGACTCCTCCTTGGGTATCCAAGGCAGTATCACGATGGTAGTAGATTGCCCAACTTTCCTTCCGAGGAGTGGCTGGTAGGTTTGAACCGCCAGCCTTCTGGTTAGCAGTCAAATGTCTTAGGCACTAACACCACATAGGTATTTATTAGACTAAGTTTATAAGTTAAATATCTGAGGGCATCTAATCCATGTGAATAAGGGAGCTTTAATGCTGATGAACACACATGTGATAATTCATAAACTATTAATATTTGCCATTCATTCTATCATAGTATGATTTTGGAGATGGTAAACAAGTGGGCTATAGTAGTACTGAATCTTACTCCTCAGTGAGAGGTTATATGAGTTTGAAAAGTAAAGTACTGATTTGGGTAAAGGGAAAGACAATATACCAAAAAAAAAAAAAAAAAAAAAAAGGTAACTGCCTTCACAGAAGAAAGCAAGCTAACATTTCTTGAGCACTATTATGCATTGTAGGAGCCCTGGTGGTGCAGTGAATAAGTGTTTGGCTGCTAAAAGAAAGGTCGGCTGTTTAAATCTACCAGTCACTCCATGGGCAAAAGATGTTGAATCAGCTTCTGTAAAGATTTATAGCTTTTGAAACCCATGGGGAAGTTCTCCTCTGTCCTACAGGGTTGCTGTGAGTTGGAACTGACTTCACAGCAATGGGTTTGGGTTTTTTGGTATTATGTATTGGCCCTTTTTCAGTGCCTCATTCAAACTACACCAATAATCTTTCACAGATGAGCAAGTGGAAACTTTGTGGAGTATACTGACCAATACCATGCAGATAAAAAATGGCAGAACTGGGTTTTGAACCCAGGTTTGTCTGTGTCCAAAGCCTAAGCTCTTAACCCTCTACATGCTAGTATATAAACTGAAGTCTTTTGACAGCAGGACTAATGATCTTTCTTTCCTCTAGTCTGATACCACATCTCAGGGACAAAGAGCTCATGATGGACTAGGGGAGACAGGGTGTTTATTTCCTTGTATTTGATTGCTTCATTAGTGTCTAGGGAAGCTGTGAACAACAGTGATCCCTTCTCTACAGTCTCATGGTTTATCCCTCTCATAGGCTACTTCTGTGATGCTTCGACTCATAAGTCACGTTTTGAAAGTACATGTTTTGTTTCCCCTTCCAACGGTTTCTCAAGTTGTTTACAGTCAGCCAAGAACACATATATAGACACACATGACAAGACTAAAAAATATAAGCTGATAGTACAAGAAATTTGTAAGTAACACTGCAAGATTTCAAGGCCAGCCAGGACAATCTAAGTTTTCCCATCTTTAAGGTTTTGTTTTCTTATGTTGCACATTTCCCAACTCTTGAAGGTATACTGCAAATGCTCAGTCCCTATTCAAATATGTATTGAGAGCACCCTACTCTGAGCAAGTCAATGTCAAGGATGCAAAATCATTCTGCCATTGTCTGCACTGAGCACGCTGACTTCTTCTTACCATTCTTGAGAAAAGGCCGATGCTCTCTTTTACAGTTCAGCTGTTCCTGGTGTCTTGAGTGGAGGCTTCTGGACTCCTCCAGGGATACCACCCTGGACTGGGTTTCCACCTGATCTGGCTGGAAGTCTGTTACCTCCCATGCTGCTCCAAGTGAAGACTCATTTTCTGAATGCACAGGACTGCTGACCTAGGAAATAAGTCCAATACCATAACAGAACGAAAGAAAAGAGGTTGAGATCAGAGCAAAAGTCCCCCAAGAAAGATATCAAAGAAGGGTTGAAGATGTGAGAAAGAGTGGGGGCATTCGGTTAATAGCACTGTCTAAAAGTTTGGCACCAGAGTACAGTACTTTTTATTAATGGAGAGAAATATATAATGCATACAGAAAATCTGTCAGGAGTAAAACACAGAACTGTTATTAAAATAAAGATTATTTGAGTCCCAACAACTATTAGGTCCACAGAGGAGTAAAAGTCATCAGAACATGAAAACAGTCACTAGTGAACTCAAAATTTGTAAGATTCTCACTTAAGACATCTAATGTCCATCTCTGACCAACAGAGCAACAACCTGGTGACAGAGCTTTACAGAATGCAAATTCTGTCCAAGGTGAAACTGCAAATCTTGCAAATGATGCGAGATTCCATGAGGTTAATGAAAGGGATGATGAAAGACAACTAGAACAGCATGCAAAGCCATTTACAAATGAGGATCTGGCAATTAAACCAGAGAAGAGTGGCAAAGACGATGACATTGACAGACACTTAAGACACAGTGATTAGAATATTTAAGGATTCCGGACGGCCCTGGGATAAATGATAATGCCCTGGCTCTTTTTCTGAAGGGGGAGGCAAAAAATAACCCTCTTTAGGATCAGGCTGCAAAAGCCAAACCCTGTGAAACATAACTATATTGCCGCTTGTATAATTTTGTCAGAAACATGTCCAAGATTTAAAATAAATACTTGCATGTATAATATTTTCTTTCATTTGCAAGATGTTTCAACCAAACCGCTGATAATATGTATTTTTTCTTCTTCTTCTCTATTTAACGTGAAATTTTGGTCCCCCTTTCAAGCGGATTCACTTTAAGGGTCTTGTATTAGAACTGTTCCCATCATTCCCTAACAAGCACTTCCTGCAATGCTTTCCCTGCCCAGCTGCTTGTCCCACTTTTTTCTTTCTAAACACAAACATTGGGGAAATCCTCTCACCTGCCGTCCTAGTCTTCCAGTCTTTTTCTCCAAATGCACTACCAGGGCCACTGCCTCCTCTCCACTTTCCGGACACTGCTCCTGTGCCCACGCCTGAATCTTCTCCGGTAAAATGGTGAGAAACTGCTCAATCACGAGCAGCTCAAGCATTTGCTCCTTGGAACGCATTTCTGGCTTCAGCCACCGGCAGCAGAGTTCCCAGAGTTTACTGAAAGCTTCCTGAGGTCCGGTCACATCCTCGTAACAGAACTGCCGGAAGCATCTGCGAAAGGTCTCAGACTCGGAGCTATCCGATCCTTCCATGATGGACTCCGACGTCCACTCGGGGTCCTTCTCCATCTTCATTACTAGGCACCCCTCAACCTCCAAGGGAGCACTGACATGAGGGCTAAGCGCTGCAGCCATGCTCCAACCAAGGGTTTAATGTCACGTCTTGCTTAAACTGGGGGTCCAAGTGAACCTCCAAGAGCTCTCTGCTTACTGTTCTTGCAGGTGTGGGAAGGCAGGGTGGTAAAAAACGACACTGTCAGCAGAAAACGGGTAATCCCGGCTGATTAATTAAATCTATTCTAGGCCCTTGAAAAGGAGGCTGTGTACCCTAAGGTCCAAAACCCCGCCTTTTCTCCAGACAAGCTGTGGCCCCGCAATGTGATTTTTCAGGATGCATCCCTTTTGTAGTGCAATGTCGGAAACAGTGAGGAGCTAAACTGGGAGAAAATCAAGGAAACTAAGGAAAGGAGGGATTGGAGGGGTGTGTGTCAGCTACCCCGGGTTTGTGCTCTGGGGAGGCGACGCCCAGGGCGGGTAAGGCCGGACGTTCACGCCCCGCCCGGCCTCAGGTTCGAAGCTAGGGTCACGGGGGCGCGCCCAGGCCGCTGCTAGTGTCCGGGGCGGCCGGTAGTGTCCGAGACTGGTGCCGGGCTCTTGCGGGCCCACGGTGGCCCAGGGGATCGACGGGAAGCTTCTGCCCACTAGAGAGGGGCACGAAGCCGTCTTCCCCTGAGGGCAGAGAAGCCGCGGGACGAAGACAGGCCTTGTAGGGGGCGACTGCCAATTCCTGGCGCTCTGCCTAGTCCGCTCGGTCCGCAGAATGCGCGGGTGACGCAGGGAACCGCGGCCACGCATGCGCTTTCCGCGTCCGCGCGCCCGGGGGTTGGCAGGGAGGATTCCTTGCGGGCTCGCGGCTCGCGGCTCCGGGTAGGGGGTTGGGGGCGGCTGTGCGTTGGGCTCTCGCGAGAGCGCGCAGCGTAGAGACTTGCGGCGGAGGGACTGTAGGATGTGGGTGGGCACGGTGATTACCTCCTAGGGCGGAAGGACACTGCGGGAACTGCAGAATATTTAGCCAGAGATATTGGAACAGTTCTGGAAAGGGGGTGGCAGTCGTTCTTCAGCCGGGGACTCTGGGAAGATGGGAATTCTGAGGCGGAGGAGCACTATTGGAGATGAAGCGCAAAGTTCTCTCTGTAACGGGGAATAGGGACTCTTTTGCTTGCGTGGTGACGAGGAGTGATCCTAGTCTTAGACTGAGGGACTTGGTTGTGATGGGTGTTGTTTTGCAGTCGGGGTAGTCACGGTGAGACGTTCTCCTTGCAGAGGGAGTCGGGGTGCAATGGCTGTACCCGTGAATGGCCTCTTCCTGCCCTCGAGTTGCAGTGCAAAGACTTTATCGTCTTTAGGGGTTTGTATTTTCCGCCGACTCTGGGGAGGTTAGTGTCACCAACTGCAGTCAGAGATATCTAGTGTTCCATAGGTGTGCTACCCGTGACTTCGGCACCTCTAACACCAGACATCGGCTTGCCCGAAATTGTCCATTAATCGTTTGTTCATTCAGCCAGTGTTTATTGAGCACCTACTACTAAGTATGCTGGGCACTGTTTTAGGTGTCTGGCATATATCGGTGAACAAATAAAAATCCCTGTTCTAGGGGGCAGATAGCCAATTGGAAATAGTGACTTTTCTTTCTCAGAGAGAGGCTTAGTTAGCTAAAACTTGTGCAAATTGTGGCAGCCATAAGGTTACTGTTATGTACCGTCGAGTCGGACCTGACTTATGGTGACCCTGCTTGGGTTTCTGAGGCAGTATCACTACAGAAGTAGATTGCCCAACCTTCCTTCTGAGGAGTGGCTGGTGGGTTTGAACCACCAGCCTTCTGGTTAGAGTCAAGTGCCTTAGGCACTATGCTACCAGAGCTCCCTGTAAGGCTACTAGGAGTACTATATCCATAACAGTATTGGATGAGGGAAGGTCACAAAGAATCTGTTGGGCAGACTGTATACACTAGGGCTTGTCCCAATTTGGTCTTTACATGACTTACTTTTCTTCTTAAAATGTTAAACGTTTATTGAGCACTTACTTTGTGCCAGACATCGTAGGTGATGGGGGAAGCAATGGTTAGCAAAACCAGGATCCCCTATCATTGTTGAGCTTTCAGTCTGGTGGGAGAGGCAGATAATACCAGAATAATCCACAGACTAATGGACAATTGAGACTTAAGCAGTTGCTCCCAAGAAGAGGAAGATATTGCCAAGAGCCTATGCATGTTAGAGGGATTTGATCTAGTCAGGGGGACTAAGAAGGTTTCTTTGAAGAAGTAATGATAGAGATGAGATCCATTTTAGGGTTGAGGGCATTGAGACCTCAACAAAGGAAAGTCACTTAAAGAATAGGGTCTTCCATATGCTTCTTGGACATTTGGTGGTTTTAGGAGAGGCAAGTATCACAAGCAGTTCAGGCACATTAGAAAGCAGGAGTCACAAACTCAAAAACCTGTGGGGCCCAGGCACGTAACATAAATGAGTGGGGTAACCAGGATATAAGACAATAGTGAATGGTGGGGACTTTGATGAACTGTAAGGCACATTTTGTGTGTAACGGACACAGTTATTAGTTGCCATCACTTGTTGCCTTGCAGGAATATGAATTGAGTCTTGCCAGATCTTCTCATTTTTTAAAGGGACTGGAAAACAGCCTTTTTAGGTGAAAATATTACACTTTTAAGTAATTAGCAAGTACATTTGTTATCTGTCTCCCCACTAGAATGTCAACTCAGTGAAGTGGGAAGTTTTCACCGTTGATGCCAGGGGCATTGAATAGTATCTCACATGTGCTAGGCACACAAACATTAACCTTAACTGCTGTCCATAGCCAACCAGCAATTCTCCCCAGGTGAGCACTCTTTCACACTGTCCCAAACTGTTTCACGGTGTCTGAAGCACTTTGTTAATTCATTTTCTTGTTTCATCCATCAGCTTCTCTGTTGGCTTCTTACGTGTTTCTGACATGGCTATTATATAAAGTCCCCAGTAGCCCCCCATCCCAGGGAAATAGTGAAGTGTGTCTTCCTTTTTGTATCTCTCCATTTTCTTCCAGCTTTAGCTGCTTTCCCCTCTGATATGGGCAGGAGAATTTTATCTTCATTAGCTCTTAGTGCAGGATCATGAGAGCTTCAGGAATTACTGTTATTTTGGTGGCCTCTCAGTAACATATCTGTGTCTAAAATGCTAGTTGCTGTTAAGTTCATTCCAACTCATGGTAACCCTATGTGTTGCAGAGTAACACTATTAACAATTATTAACTTGCACTCTGTTGGGTTTTCAAGGCCATGACCTTTTGGAAGCACATTGTCAGGCCTTTCTTCTGAGAATCATCTGGGTGAGTTCAGACTGCCAACTTTCAGTGAGTAGTGAAGCGTTTAACTGTTTTTGCCACAAAGTGGCTATATATATATATATATATATATAATCTATATGGAAAATTTCAAACATTCAGAAGTAAAGAGAGTTAAGTCTCATGTTCCCATTCTCTAATACAAGCAATTAGCAATTCAGTGGCCAATCTTGTCTACCAACTCCCCTAATCTCATTTAAATGATTTTTTTTTTTTGCGTGTTTTCAGTGAAAGTTTACACAAACTTAGGTTCCCATACGATAATTTCTAGAGGACAAACTTAGATTCCCATACGATAATTTCTACAGGAACTGTTTACTGACATTGGTTATATTGATCCCAGATTATTTTGAAGTAAATCCCAGACATACTATTTTATTTGTATCACTAAATGTATCATTAAAAGACAGGGACTATTATTTTAAACATAACTTTAATACTATTATAAATTCCCCAATAGCATCAACAATTCCTTAATATCTTTTTAGAAACACTGTATTTATCTGAAGGGGGTTTGCAAAAGAAAAAAGCGTTCATATTGGGCAGATAAAAAGAAAAGACGTCCCACATTTGTTAACAAAGTGTTTACATTTAGTTCAACATGAAAATGTTGATCCTTTGGGAATAGAAGAGCAGATTATAAAAGAAAGTGGTCAATCAGTATAGGTCACTAAGTGAAGCAGGTCATGCTACTGAGAGATATCTTGGAGGAAATGGTTATTTTCTCAAGACCTCCATCCTCTGGGTTTACCCAGAGGCACTCTTTTCGCATGATCCCCCGAGGAACATTCACACCAGTGTTTCCTTGGTAGCACACCTGATAGAATAGGTTCCATTTTACTAACAGCCTTAGAGTAGTAACATTCCACATAGTATTCCTCTGTCCACGGTGCTGATCTCAACAGTGCTTTGACCGGCAACTATTAACTTGCTATTTAGTGAAGGGTTATGATAAAAGTGAATGTTATATGTACATTAAATAGTTCCAAGAAGTGCTTTTTATTCCTATATCAAGTTAAAAAATATCAACGCTGTATAATTTCCTAGTCATGCCAATTAATTCTCATTTCTATTATGTCCTGAAAATCCAAACTATTAAAAAATTGAAAATATAGAAATATAGTACCAAAATCAAAACAACAAACTCACTGCCGTTAAGCCGGATCCGACTCATAGCGACACTTCTTTGAGTTTCTGAGGCAGTATCTCTACGGAAATAGATTGCCCAATCTTCCTTCCGAAGAGTGGCTGGTGGGTTTGAACCTCCAGCCTTCTGGTTAGCAGTCAAATGCCTTAGGCACTATGCTACCAGAGCTCCCAGAAGTATAGTAGACACATCAAAACGCATACTTAACTTTTTTCACTCCGTCTGGTGGCAGAGTGCCTAAGGCATTTGACAGCTAACCAGAAGGCTGGCAGTTCAAGCCCACCAGTCACTTCTCAGAAGGAAGATTGGGCAATCTACTTCTGTAGGGATACTGCCTTGGAAACCCAAGGAGGAGTCATTATGAGTTGAATTGACTCAATGGTAGTGAGTTTTTGTTTGTTTGTTTGTTTGTTAGTTTACTATAGAAATAATAGTATTATTTTCAAATATAATTTATTAACAGAAGCTGTATCTAATAGAAATAGTTTTCCACTTTACAAATTAAAAATAACCTCTCCCCCAAGTTCCACTAGTAATAGTCAGATAACTAACAGAATAGCAACCATTAAAATGGTCCAGTTCTTTTTACTCCATTGAGTAATACAATAGTGAAAAATTCTCAGCTATTTCCTGAGTAGTCAATAATTGCTTGCTGCA